TCCATCATTCGAGTGAACCCCACCAAAACCTTGGGCAATTCATGGTTTCCCGGCCCCACAAGGAGGAAACCATTTAATTTAAGCTCATCCCTTTGAATATTTTGTCTCACAACAACTTAAAGTTAGGGTATATTTGGGTGGAATGAAGTATATTGATAAAATAATTAAGAAATGGGTTCTCATTCTGTACTAGAAGTTGGGTATACATCTTAGTTATCTTTTTTTTTTTCCTTTTATTGGGGATTTGGGATATGGTGGGGGTCATGTGTGTGTGCACCAAAATATTCCTGAGAAATTCCTCTAGTTGTTACTTTTTTTTTTTGTTTTAATATTGTATTTATGAGATTTCACGTAGAGAGAGATGATAATTTTCATTGATAAATTACAGAATTATTTTCTCACAAAAATTGGGGTAAAGAGTACAACGGATGATGGACTATATATGAATAGATCTATCCATATGTAGCGTCTACTACTATTGCCCACTACATGTAATTAATCTACGTAAATTTCAATAAACCGTAGGCAGTAAGTGGCAGTGATGTGTGTAGCACAGATAAGTTGATGCATAACAGACCTGATATTGTAGGCTCAAAGAGTATTGATGAAACTACGGCCAGTGTCAGTGTCGGTGTTGGTACGATGTTTATTAAGAACTTGGGGTTGTACACGGGTATATACATATATATATATATAGCTGATGCATGGTTGCAGATACAGTTGGTACGAAGTCTTTCTCCATGACGATGAGCACCATAACTTCTTTTTTACTCTGGGTAAGAACCTAAACGTTATTCTTATTATATCATATTATCATCAACCAACAAATATTATTATTAAGGGTGTTAATGGACCGGTTTCGGGTTGGACCCCATCCAGTCCAAAATTAATTTGAATAGATTGGAAGGACCAATAAGACATATTAGATTGGACCCGATTCATCCATAATAAATTTATATTGGATTAAGTTAAATTAAGCCAATATCTGGTCCATTGAATAAGATAAAAATATGTGTCGATAGACCAAATTTAGGTTAAAACCAATCTAAATCAAAATGAATTTGAACATATTGGATGGTCCAAACATTGAATTGGACCAGTCCAAATTGATCCAAAACATTCATTGGATTGGATTGAACCTGGTCCATTTATAATGGACTCACATTGAACTGGATCAGATTGAACCCAATCCAGTCCAATTGACACCCCTAAATTTATTATCATCACCGTCCATTGGGTACTTCCAATGTTGGGCATGCCCTTGATGAGAAGCTGCTTCTTTTACCCGACCTTACAATGCATCAATGAATTTGGATTTATTAATTGTAGCAATATTTGTTCATCAATCCAATACTTTGGTGAAATTTGGCTTGGCCCATAAGGAATAATGAATGGGGAGCAGCTGCATTTAGCTCACCTTGATCTACTGCATGTAATGTTCCTAGCTGATCCAAAGGAATTATGTTTAGTTGCAGGTTGGAGAGATTTTTAGGGTTTTTCCCCTGCTTGCTTGCTTGTTAGAGATGATCATAGATTGGGTTGCAAAGAGTTTCATAAGCTAAAAGGACACAAAAGGGATGCTTGCTTCACAATCTGTTAATAGGTAATTGGGAATTAATTAAGCTATAAATCTAGGTCGATCAGGAGTACTAATTAAAACCAAAGAGTTGTGTAAGGAAATGGAAATGAGGGGAAATGCAGAAAGACAAGGATTGGATTGTAAGAAACATAGATCATTGTCGGCAGTACAACCTCGTTTGCAGAAAAATAAAGACATAATTCATAAAGATAGTACAGTCAAAATTTTTATATACAAACGCAAAGCCCTCAGAGACAAGAATGCTTCTCCTTCAGACACGCAGTTAGCTTCCTGCATGCTCAGACACGATGCATGGGTGAATAAATTTTAACCCAGATTTCATGCATGTTCACACTAACAAAAAAAATCTCTATAATTTCATGTGATTCATAAATAAAACCTAATTCAATCTCCTAAATCAAGTAGAAATTAAATTTTACCTAAATTTACCAAGTGCAAACAAAATGGTTGTGCCCCGGCCGTACTCAGTATGGAGTGGCCTAGAATGTTTAATGTTTGTATGGAAGAAGTGAGGAGAGAGGTGTGATGTACACACAACTGATCAGAGACGGGACCAACCCTTAGGCTGTATTTGGCTTGGATGAAAATTTAGGGGAAGGAGGGAAAATGTAGGGAAACTTGTACCAGATTTCTGTATACCTTTTCTTTCAAGCCAAACACAACCTTAGTTCTTTGAAAATATTAGCTCTTTTTGGATAGTTTCTTTATCAGATAACTCTCTCTCTCTCTCTCTCTCTCTCTAATTTGTTACTCAAAACTAAGGTTGATCATCTTAATCTATTTCACTAAAATCCAACACTTGTCTTATAAATAAAAGGAAAATTCTCTAAAATTCACGTGAGTTTTCAACATTTCTCTTAAACTCACCACAACTTTTCAAAATGTCTAAAACTCACCATGCCAGTAAGTTTTTATTTTCCAAAACTTACCTTGCACTGTTAATGCTTCTTAACAGAGGTGTCTTTATTATCATAAATTACAGTTTTCATGACCAAATTACCCTTGAATGGTGAGTTAGAGGGAAAATGGTCTTTCTTAGTTTTCACTTTTTTTTTTGTTTTTTTGTTTTTGCATTTTTAATGCTTTGCTATAATTTCCATTTTTTTTATAATTTATGGTTTTTACATTTTTCTATTTTCTACAATCTATAAACTTTTGGTGTTTTTTCTACAATTTTTATTTTCTGATTTTGTTTTACAATTTCTATAGTTTCTATAATTTGAAAATATTTTTTATTTTGTTTGCAATTTCTATAATTTTTTATATTTGTTTTAATATATTAACACCAGTTAATATATTTTTGAAAATATTTTTACATTTTCTGATTTTATTTTTTAAAAATATTTTTTTTGAATTTTTTCTTTTTTTCATGTCTAAATATTAAAATGGTAATAGATTAACACCCGTTAATCTGTTTAACGTCAAATTAGTGACATAGTAAGTTTTAGGCATTTTGAAAAGTTGTGATGAGTTTAAGGAAAATGCTAAAAACTCATGATGAGTTTTAGACAATTTCCCTAAATAAAAAGGACATGCTCAACAGTAGGGAGAAATTCATGCACTGAATCTGGTCAAACATTAAGTCCAACATTTGAACTACATTCCACGAGGATCCAAACTAAACATACCTATTACATATGACAAATGATTTGTTCTAGGCCGTGGATAAAAATTAGGTAAGGGTCCATTGTCCACCATGATGATGTGAGGCAAGCCCCATAACCATATAAATATAGTACTGGTTCTTTGTGGCTACTCACTGTGTTGTATGTAGTCATCAGTTTTGGGCCATCTAATCAACAAACCATGTGATGGAGATTTCATTCGGAAAAAACTATAATCATTTAATTTCTCCCCAATAATGCAATCTTTTTTTTTTTCAGAGTCGGTGCTTTGTTTTGTATTCGATCATTGTCCAAATGAGTGTAACTACTACTAGTCTAGTACTCACATGATTTCATCATCACAATTTTTTGAGATATCATATATATATATATATATATATATATATATATAGACCAACTAAATTAAACAACTACTTTTCTATTTATTAGAGCTGTCAATGGGTTGGGTCTGGTCCGGGACACTATCAGTCCTGAACCGATCATTAATTGATTCTAAAAGATAGACCTAGAACTGACCCAATTATATTTAATTAACATCTACCATTATCTATGATAATAACAACTTAAAACTTTATTTTTGATAATATAACCTTAATAAAAATGATAGTAAATTAACAAATGATTTATAAGTTGATAAAACAAGTGTTTTTAACCAAAATTATCTTATATATATACACTATCTAGCTATGAAATTTTCCCTTAGGGATAAAACAAATATTACAAGAAAACAAGGGACTTTTATATATTATTAACTAAATAATCGATTCCAAATGGCAATAATCAGTCCTGAACGAATTATTAATCAAGACAAAATCATAAAACTAGACCCAACATAATCAGTTTGATTCTATCAAGTAGACCCTATCTATTGACAGTTCTACTTTTATTTTAGAAAATTGAATAACCAATTTCAATAAATATATATATATATATATGTATATAAGGAAATATGCATACATACATACATACATAAATAACCAATTTCAATAAATAATTGTAGAGGAGTGACTTATCTTGATATACCGATACTGCATCCTTAACGTGTGGAGAATAACACTAGATTGTAATCACAAGGCGCATATGAGCCACGTATTTAAGTATGACTGATGTTGCTCATGCAAATGAATTAGATTGTAGTCAATTTTCTTTTTATTTATAAATAAATATTTGCTGATGTGACTTCACTCTCTTATCTTCAAAGTTCAAAGAATCATATATATGACATTGTAGGATATGTATTGGTTTTCAGGGTCATCAATATGGAAAATACATTGAATTTGGGTTTTTTAATAATAATAATAATATGCTTATTTGCAAATTATCAAACTGAAAATGTCCACGTTTTGCTCCGCCACTCTCATCAGTGTTGTTACAGTCAATATATGTTACTAATATGGTAATAGAATTTTGATTTTCACAGGAACCAACTTGAACTTGTGTCCTGTGTAAAAGCAAAAAATGGGTAAAATTATAGTTCAATTACAAATATAGAAATGAGGGATTTTTCCATTCCTTTTGTTTGAATCCTTTCATACAATTTCTTTATGCAGAAAAAAGGACTAAAGAGAACAGGGCTCAAACCTCTAAACCTATAGTCTGTACAAATGTATATCTATAGCAATGTTTTATATTTTTTTTTACAGTAAAATTGTTTTAGATTTGATGTATATATGGCACATCCAATTTTTTGCATTTTCATGTAAGCTTTTGTGTGTCTATATCTATATATATATATATGTATTCATTATACATGTTCTCCTTTGAAATTAGCATTGGATACCAAATGAAGATGGCCTTACCCTTTTCTTTTACTTGGTCATGTTAGATTGTTTTATTTTCTTCTTCTAAAACTTGTAGATAGATGAGATTTTTTTAGCTCTCTCTCTCTCTCTCTTTTCTTGGGGGGTAATACCCTAAAAGATTTTGTTTTCTCAAGATATGAGAAAATAGGGGAGAAGGAAAAATGGGTGACATCCCTTACCCTGATATTATAATAAACGCAGTGTCATGGTCATCCTTTTTAGTGTACCTCCCACTCTCCCATTTATTACCCTTGTCCTTTCTCTTCCATTCATTCTCTCACACTAAATGCTCTTTTCCTTCTTCCCCCATCTTCCCCCACTCTTTTGCTACTGAATTTGCAGGTCTCTCATTCCCAATTAGGGTTTCCCTTTTGAGAACTCACCTCTCCAATAATAAAAGCTCATAAACCTCTTGCTTTCAATAGCTAAAGCTTCTTTGATCTTGGAAGAACCAAGGAATACGTCCTGAACGAGCTTACATAAGGGAAAAGGTACTGCCCTTTTTCCTCTGATCAAGCGTAGATCACAAACAGGTAAACTTACGTAGCTTCTCTTTTCTTCCTTTCTTTCTTTTTCCCGTTTTTTACCACTTTAGTTTCTTTATTTTTGTTTGGTGGGTGTGCCAAGAGATACCCACGCGAGACTTTGCGTCTCAGTCTCTGATCTAGGGTTTGCCAGATGGAATCTTTATAGGTAGAATAAGTTCATATCGTTTTACTACAGTGGTGGAAAAATAATCATGGACGCGATTGCACCAGTCAGATCCCATATGTTCAACTAACCTCACACGGATACAATTTCCATATATAGTAGGAACTGAAACTGAATTCCATAAACCAAGGAGTCTGAAGACGTTGCGTGTGTTTCTGCAGAGAGAGAGAGAGAGAAGTGAAAGAGGGGGAGATGGTTCTGCATCTGGGTGTCAAAGGAGGAAAAATGAAAAGACAAAATCAGTGTCTAAATTCCACAAATAATGCATAAGGTTTTAATGGTTATGCTTGTATTATATATGTAACGAGAAAAATAGTCACGGAACAATGAAATGACAAAATCAGTCTCGACTTCAAGAAATATGGATGTTGCTTTGATAGCTTGAAGGGAAATAGAAGGAAAGGAATGGACAAAATTCGCCTTCAGATTGAAGAAAATAAATTATAGAAATTTTACGAACTGGGTTTTCTTTCCGAAAGTATACCAAAGAGAATCTGGTGGCAGCTCTAAACCCAAATTCCTTGCTAATTGCAATACAGCTAGAAATGAAAAATAGAAAATAACGAAGGAAAGTTTGGTGCAACTGGTTAGGTTTTACATGAAATCTCAACCATTTCAAACAAAATAAAATGGCCTTCATTTTTGTAAAAGCAAGAAAGAAGGAGAAGGAAAAGAAAAAAGAACACTTGGTGAATTTCCTAATAGTGTTTGGTGGATTGTTTTTATTTACTTTTTTTTTTTTCAGCATCGATCGTAGATGGCTTCATCCAGTTCTTCCGGCTCTCCCTGTGCTGCCTGCAAGTTCTTGAGGAGGAAGTGCTTGCCAGGTTGCATATTTGCACCCTATTTTCCACCCGAAGAGCCACAGAAGTTCGCTAATGTTCACAAGATCTTCGGTGCAAGCAACGTCACAAAGCTGCTGAATGAGCTCCTCCCTCATCAGCGAGAAGATGCAGTCAACTCCCTCGCCTACGAAGCCGAGGCACGGATGAAGGATCCCGTGTACGGCTGCGTTGGGGCCATTTCAGTCCTCCAAAGACAGGTTCACCGACTCCAGAAGGAACTAGACGCTGCTAATGCTGATCTGATCCGGTATGCTTGCAGTGAAATGTCCACCGCATTGCCCGCAACGCCGGGGACAGGGGTGGTTCCACCACCGTTGGCACATCGCCCGAGGCCTGCCGAATTTGGTAGAAGGATCGTTGATGGCGGAGCTTCTTTCTATCAGATACCTGGTTTTCCTCTTCCTTACTCTCCTCCATGGCCCGACACCTCTTCAGGAGATATTCATGATAGAGGAGAAGGCACTATCTGATGAATTTCAATGGGCTCCAGAAAGGGAAGACCTATCTAGGGTTTTTCCTCTCTCTCTCTCTCTCTCTCTCTCTCTCAATATACAAGGCCCCATGTGTGGATGACAATCTTCATGGTATGCTCTGCTATAGCTATAGTCTTAGCTTGATTATAGGGTACAATCTTTTTTATTAGCCAAAAACTTTTGGTGAATTTCGTATTTATGGTGTGAGATCCAACTACTTAAATTGATGGACTATCAGTGTTTGAACGTGTTATTGGGTTTTTAGGTGAAGCACTTGAACATGATTGGCCGTGATTGATTGTTTCATCCTTCTGTTCTTTGACTTGTGTGTCCTCAGTGCAATTCTGCAGCATGTGGAGTTCATGTTCTCTCTAGAGTTGTTTTATGCTCCTGATTATTATTATTATATTTTTATTATTGCTTTATGTCAAGAGGATTTCTATAGCTAATTAAGTCGACGATTATTATATTCTCACTTCCATTCTGAAAGATCACAGCCCTCGCTTCTCAACAAGAACAGTATACCTAATGACCTGATCCGTAGCCCACAGTACGAATTGGTTCAAATACCCAAATTCAATGTAAAGACTATGGATTGCACCCGATCGTCTCATCTATGTTCCCAAACAGATTTTCTTAATCGACAAGAATTCTTTTTCTCTTTCGTCAAGATTTAGTGACAACTATAACAGTAATGAAGAGAACCCACGTGTCAATCTGATCGAATGAAAAAAGATTACTTCGAGTTTATTTTTTGAGCTTCCACTAACTTATTTGATGGTTTACATATATATCTATATCTATATATATATATATAATATTTCTGGGTTCCTTCTATTCATTTGTTAATTTCCTCTCACTGACAGACAACTGGTACTGTGAATTTATTGACTTTCTTTCCTTCTTCTTCTTCTTCTCCTTTTCAGCTATATGTAGATCATATCGCTAGTGAATCTCAGCTCCACCTTCATTCCATCTTTTCATTTATCTGGAACAGTATGTCGCAGTTCCTTTACATTTATAGGACAGATAAATGGTTTTGTTCTTCCATGTGAGAATATGTCCACCATATCAGAGCTAGCTATTAATTAATTACATATGGATCGCAATTCATATATAACTGGGTTTTCACCTTCCCCCTTTTCCCCAACTATCGTTGCTGCCATCCACCACTTTTTCTCAGACAAAACAGTAATCTCTCTCTCTCTCTCTCTCTATACATATACATGCATGTTGCATGTAATTACATACAACAAATGTGCATATGTTTGCGCATTAATTATCAGAGGAAAAATATATACCACAATTTATCGGCTCTGTATCGAAAGGGTGCAGAGCTACCTCCATGTTTACCTTGCCGAAGTCTGAATCTATATGTACACGTTCGAGATCGCATACAGACGCACAGAGATATATGCAGGGATTTGACATGTATGAATGAGTTCAAAATTTCCTTATTTTCTTCGATCCATTCTCTTTGCTTCTCTCTCACGGGCAATCATTCGTAGTGTTTCATGGATAATTGAAGATACTCAACTAGTTTCCATTGGAAAAAACGATTGGTTCTTCTTCGCCTTGCCTTTGTCGTATCTCTCTCTCTCTCTCTCTACCCTCCTCTGTAGGTGAGAAAATAAAAATAAAAAAATAAAAGAAGAAGAAGAAGCTCTCTTGCCTCTGCATTCGAGACTTGAGAGTCCTCCAATTCCTCGGCCACCTTTATTGAAATCGTCAAAGAACTGCCTTTAATGAAGGAGGCCATGTCTGAATGTTTGAATCTTGGAGAATGAAATATCCATCTCTGAAAATAGTCAAAAATCAAAAATATCCTCGAAAAATAAATAAAAAATCATACGGAAAATTCATAAATGAATCTATAAATTTTTGCTGGGTTATTCTTTCTTCTTTAACTTTTTATACAGTCTGACGTTTGTACAAGGCCGCCCAGAATGGAGTATGGCTTTCTGAAGTTTTTGTTGGGTCTTCTTAAGAGTGAAACAGTTTCACTTGATCAGAATCCATCAGTCCCACTGAAGGAAGGAAAAAAGGACTTAAAAGAGCAGGTGAAAATAGTAAGTTAGGAAATGGACAAAACCTAATATGTGGGCCCATATTTGGCTATTCCCTGGAAATTGTTATTGCAGTTCCAGTTTACGACTACTGTGTAAATACACGAGACTGGAAGGATTGATGATTAAACAATGATTTTATCGATTTATTTTTTTAAGTTTGAAGAATTTCTGTGATGGTATGTGGCGAGTATGGCTCTTCTTTTTTTTTTTTTTTTTATTTGAACGCAATCTATTTGGTAGAGACTATGCTGATGTGGCAAATACAACATGATGTTTTTGTTATTTAAACTTTTTGATGCAATTTAGGATGTGACAATTCAAAAAAAAAAAAGAAAAGTAAAATCCCAATCTTACTTTTCAATTTGCCACGTCAGTGAGAGAGATGCACTGTTGCAATAATCCATAACACAAAATTCGAGGGTGGGCTTGTTGCCTTTGCATTTCTTGTAAGAATGGGCATCTCAAAGCATTATTTTTTATCGTTTGTTGAAAGGCTGATGTGGCAATGTTAAAAAACCCAGCTATGCCTATGCCAACCACCCGCTATGTTGATGTTGAATGACGATTGTGGTAACTGGCCAAGACAAATCATACTAGCAATTTGCAATCTCTCTCTCTCTCATCATTATAAAAGATTGGCTTGTAGTGATGTACTGTAGAGAAAAGTGATGAAAAGTTGTGAATAGTGTAAAATCAAGGGAGGTCACAATTTAGATAGTGTTTGAAAGCGTGAGTATGTTTTGGGATCAATTTTGAAAAAAAAAAATCGTTTACACTTGTTAAACATGTTTTTCACAAATAAATACATTCATATGTTTGGTAGTGCCATGTAATTAATTAGTAAGTAATATTAATGTTGTTTGGTAAGGTGATTTTCATTACCGTTTTTCATGTATGTGCACATATTACATCATTTTCTTATCGAGAATTAGGATGCAGGTAAGTGTCACATCGTATAGTCATGAGGGCAATGACTCTTCGATGCATGAATAAGAGGGATGCGATTTACGATGCATGCCCATTTTTTACCATTTTTTCAAAAATCACCTGAACCAAACAATCATGTAAGCGGTGAAAAGTGGAATCGCCTACATGGATCCCACGTAGCATCATTTTAAAAAAAAAACACCCACCATACCAAACATCCACTTAATTAACAAGGTCTACAGATATTTCGGCACCCCACTAATATGCTGCTATAGTGGATGTATCGATGGTCTGACCGGTTCAGGGTGTGGCGAAGACCTAAACCAATTGGCGAAAAAAATAAAAAAAATAAAACACCAAAATGAATATCAATTCGCCCAATATGCCCATACTGGCATATCAAGCGTATCAATATTTTGAACCTTGATTTGGATTTTTCAATGGTTTGGTCAAGTAAAATTAGTCAAAAGGGAATAAGCTCTTTGGCTTGATTCAAAGCATGTCTGGTAATGTATCGTCGTTTTAATTTTGTTTCTTTTTCTTCAGCTAATATTGTTGGTGAGATACAATCCAAAATATGAAATCATGCAATATGTTTGTGAATAGAATTAACCTTGAATTATTAAAACAATTTCAATAGTTTATTGGAATTTAGCAATATCTAGAATACATATGATATTATGATGGCATCCATACATATATCAACCGAGCAAACAACGTCACGAACAAACTGAGTATGGAGTATTTCATACCTCATCTCTTCTTGTCCTTAGGATCTACAGAGTTTATCTATCAATTGTAGTTGATTCTGGATTCAAAATCAGTATAAAAAACAAGTCCTAATATTTTCTCTTTTTCAGAAAGGCTACTTATAAGTTTCTCACTGTAATAATGATATATATGCATAGAGGCACCAAGCCAATACACAGAGTAATGGAAAGAGAAAATATTAAGAAGAATTTGGGTTAGGATCCAAACATGCTTTCCCCAATGCACCAACTTTTAGAGAAAACAGATCCTTTAATTCTTCCTAAAACATAGATTGTTGTTCCATTGAATGGAAGCGGCCATGGCCTTTGATTGTCAGAACTAGAATTTGGCGAATGACTTGCTCAAGGAATTAAGGAGCTCAAGTTGCTTTCACCAACAATAAAACAAGCCATCATCTCAACCACAAATTACCTAAGTTGCGTTTGGAATTGGTGTAAAAGTATATCGGTAATGTTTTACATTGAACTATGATTCAATGATTATTGCACTTTTAAAAAACGTAATGTGATCGGTATAAAGTTTTACATTAATTTTATCGATATAGTATTTATATCGATAATTGATATAAAATTTTACTTTTGATGAGGTTTTACACTAATTCACGACGTAAAATTCCACTCCTTCTAAACGTTGACAAAATTGAAGCGACATAAACTTTTACNTTTTACTTTTGATGAGGTTTTACACTAATTCACGACGTAAAATTCCACTCCTTCTAAACGTTGACAAAATTGAAGCGACATAAACTTTTACATCGATTCTTGATTTACACTGATTCCAAACAGTTAACGAATTTGTTCCTCCAGCTTAGCTTCAAGTATTGCATTTTATATTAGCTACATATATTCACTTTTTCAAGATTGGTCCACTTAGTTGCAACTTGCAAGATACCCTCTTGGTTTATGTTATGTTTCTAAGCAAACTATTTCAAGTTTGGAGCCAGGAGGCTCTTAGAGCTTTAAATTGTATATTTAAAAGATGACAAGTACCACATGTTCGTTGTCATCACTTGATGAAAGAAGCACTGTTGATTGCGGGGGGAGTCGCATTGATTTATCATGACACTTTAAGCGCTTGAAAGCTGAAGCTACCATTTGGCCTTTGAAGTAAAACAAATTATATAGCTTTCAAAATCAGCTCATTTTCTCACTTTCACTTTGTTTGATACGTGGCCAATTGCGAAAATCAGTTCTTTTGGCAGATTGATTACTAGTATTAATGATGAGTATAGATGATTATACTGATTATGATAATTAATTAACCACCGATAATCAACAGTATAATCAGAGAAATTAATCAACTTTTGGTTGAATTAATACCTTTTTTATATTTGAAGGAGTGCATGCCCAAGCACAAGAATCAAAGAATCTCTTATTGTTGTAAAGTTGTAGTTGTAATTGGGTGGTCCATGGTCTAGTCTTATATAGACGGGGTTAATGTTTTTATGGATGCGACAGGTTTGCTTTTTCATGTGAATATGTAGTCTGGTCCCAACTCCCCATCACCAAAAGGTATATTTTTTCAGCTCCAAAGCTTCAAAGTTCAAAGTAAGGTGGTGGTGAAGTCCTAACAAGTATGTATGTATGTGTATATGTCACATG